CGGACATCACCTCACCTTGGACGCTACAAAGTCATGGACTACAATGAAGAGACAGAGACACAAGAGACTTGGAGAAGGTAACTGTTCTAGAGCAGGGGCAGTTAGGAGGCTACTTCTTGCCTTGTGGCAGGCTGACTGTTACCATCATCTTCCTCAGAACAGGCACTAAGTACACCTAGTGCCACTGCTTGTTTTTCTGCTTTAATGTGGCTATTTAAAGAAGGCTCCCAGTTAGTTTTAACTGACTCATTTTGCTCCTGTTGCCGCATTTGAACAGTTTCGCCTAGTTTCCTACTTTTTTGCTATTGTTAAGGACATGTGCTAGTGAGGAAGCTAATGCATACCAGACTTTAAGCATCAAAATTATTCAGGGAATAAAACTTTAAAAAAAAATACTGCCTGTCTCGTAACTAGGGAGAGTTCAGTTTGAAGAGGCACTTTGTTACAACTTCCCTATAATAAAAACTTGCTCTTCAGTCTGTGTGGATTTACAGTGGAGGAGGGTGTTGGGTCAAGTATGGTGGAGGCTTCTCATACCGACAGTGCACACTTCCCTCTATCATCTCAAAACTCAGGTTTCCATAACAACCCTGTCTTAAAACCTATCTACAGCTGCCTTTGTACACCATTGCTGCAAGCCTCTGTGCTGCATTCCCAGCTCTCTCTAAGCTGCTGCCAGTTTCTTGGTTTTTTGCAGACTGTAGTTGCCACCTCACTGGTCTCCCTGAGCCACGAGGTTCCAGTCCAAATTGTCCTCCTTGTTTAGAATACTCAGTGCGGACTTACTCTAATCTGTTTAGTTTCATAAAATGCCTTCTCTCTCTAGTCTGTATTATGTGAAAAGAATTTTCTTGGGACTTCTCTGCTAGCAGCTTCCATTTGCTAAGCCCTTGCCCCCTCTGGAAGGCTGTTTCTTCTGCAGCTTCAGCTGCAAACATCACCTTTGTTCTTCTGTCTAACTGCAGGTATTCTTCCTTCTTCAGGCCTGCTTCCCGACACAACACCAGGAAAACATGGAAGGATGATGGAATGAATTCATTAGAGTTCAAGCTCCTTTCCAGGACAAAGCATCCTCTTTATACCAACATCACTGTGGACATTGGGTATGTTCCCCCATTGTCTTAAAAGAACAAAAAGAAAAGCAGAGTTTGGGCTCAAGCATGGCAGCATGCGTGTGGGCATTCAGCCTCTACCTCCTGTTGTGGTGTGGAGTCTGCACCACCTGAGACTAACCCCTTTCGTCTTTCATGCATTTCACTTTTCTTCATATAAGATTTAGAAGAAAAGACTTCAGGAATAGTGTACGATAGCTAATAAACAGGCTGCGGCTTACTGAAAAAATTGTCAAAGCACTGTAAAACTAGCAACTGAGCCAGACCCTTCCCAGCCTTCAGGCCTTGAGTATCAAGGTTTCGTTGACAGTAAGCTCACCCAAGTTTTCTGGAACCTTTGTTCCATAGCTGGATAGCTCTGTCCTGCTTCATACTTCAGTGTTAATTGGGATGCAAGCCATTCTGTCAGATGGGCCTCTGAAGTGCTGTATTTTGAGAAAGTGTTGCAGCCAGTTGCAGTTCTGTAAATATCTTCTGTGAATTTGAGTAAAATAAATTGTTATGTGTTTGGGTTAAGATTTTCTAGAATATTTAATGAGTGTAATAAAAGAGAAAGTTGCCTTGAAACCAGACAAAACCAGGGCTTAAGTCCTTGTTTTTTTCTGGCCTGATCCATCAGTGTTTGAATGCTTTTTATTGTAGCTGTAAGTAATTCAGGCTGAATGGGACCTGAGGCTGTCACCTAGTCTAACCTCCTGATCAGT